GAACCCTTCGTATATTTTTTATTATTTAAAATTTTTTCGTGTAATAAATCAAATCTTATTTATCTTAATGGCAAGCATGTTTTTATTGGTTAAAAGTAATTTCTGCTGATTAAAATTTAATTCTCGACACATTTTTGGCCCATTTCTTATACTATCCTGCACAAACTTGGTATCATTTATTCCATTTTAGGTAATTTGTAGCGAGAAATTTATCAGATTTTAGTTTTTGTCTATCTGACCTGTTGACCCGGGTTATGACCCGGGTTGACCCCTGACCCGAGTTACTTTGATCCGGTTACAATTTTTTGACCCGGGTCACAACTCTACAGGGCATGCCTTTTGGTTAAAGGGCATGCACCTAGGCATGCCCCAGGGGCATGCACCATGGGGCATGCACCTAGGCATGCCCCAGGGGCATGCACCATGGGGCATGCCTCCAACCTCCGTGCCCCCAACCCTATTGGGGACACGGGGTGTGATTTCAATTTGTCACAGGGCACGAGGACGTGATGTTACGCATCACATGGAAATTATTAATTACTTTGTGATGTTTTACTAATTGTTATCATGTGATGATTTAGGGCGTTATGCCGTGCCCCGCGTGATGATTTTCCGTGCCCCAACCCTACTCCTAGCGCACCCACAAAAATTGTTCTCTCCCGTGATTTTGACCAATCAAATTTCAAGATCAGATGTAACGTAAACAATCGAAGCGAAACAATTTTTTTACAGAAATAACTCGAAATTTTAATTAATAAACCACCTTCTACGGCCTAAAAATGCATCTCGTGAAATTTTACTAATAGAAACTCTATCGTCCTAACCCTAATCTTAACCCTAACCTTAACTCAAACTACAACGTTTTATTAGTAAAAATTACGGGGCAATGCCTTGAAAATGACCTTATGGAACATAGTTATTATGCCATTTTAGGGCAAAAACCCATATGCTTACATCATAGGCTTTTTGTATAATCATAAATAGAGGAACCGAAAATTCTACAAATTAGTATTAAAATACATATGTTAATCTGCCAATCGCATGATTATATAAATACATTCGCTATAAAAAAAAATAAGAAATAATGGCTATATTATCGCTTATTGAAAATATCGATTTATTAACTTTGCTTGTCCTTGTGAGTTTAGGATTAGCAACATATGTGGCACAATTCTATTTCAACTATTTCACCAGAAAGAATCCTCTTCCAGGACCTGTACCATGGCCGATTATAGGTGTGTGGGAAAATGATATAGCAATGGCCAATAAATTTCAAGAAAAATATGGAGATATCTGGGAGGTTTGGAAGTGGTCTGAAAGGCATATATGGATAGGTCGTGCGGACTTGGCTACAAAGTTACTTAATCCTTCTTATTCAAATAATAATTTTCCTTTTCGGACAACCAAAAATGAAGGCCTTGATTTAATGGATATGACATCGAAGGGTGTAGTGTTTAATCTTGATTGGAACAGTTGGAATTTTAACCGAAAATGTGTGAATCGAGTTTTGATGTCACCAAAGTTTCTGAGGCATTCGGTAGTGTACACTCAAAATCTCTTTACAGAAATGGAAAAGCATTGGTTATCCCTTGGACTTGATAAAGAAATAGATCTTGCAAAATGGATGATGAGATTTATGATGGATTCTACTCTTATCATGACGACAAATAAGAATTTTTATGCTTTAGCCAATTACTATGATACGTTTTCTAACTCGAAATGTTCGAATCATATTTTGAAAGATTCCGAAAGATTTGTTGCAGCCATTAGGACCCATTTTATAGCGTGCGCTTTCTTTAAAGATACACCAAAATACAAACGAAGATTCTTTCCAAATTTAAGGCGTCAAGCAAAAGAATTACTTGAGGAGGTTGCTTGGTTAAACAGAGAAGTTCTCAAAATTATTAGAGAGAGGAAACAGGAAATCGATAGAACTCCATTGGAAGACGAATTGTCTTCAGATATGTTGACAATGTTGTTAACTTTAAATACTTCTCGTGATATTAATCGAGAAACTGCTGCTGAACCAATAAGTGAAGATGATGTTCGCGCTATCGTATATGATATAATTGGTGGTGGTAGTGATACTGTATGTTATTACTTGAATTCAGTATTTTTGATACAGTTCAAATCTCTATATATGTACCTCCTGAGACCGACCCTAAGTGTATTTAGAGAGAGAACAACTTTATAAATGTTATTAATAGTTTGGATCAGTGTTGGGCACTTTTATGAGCCCTTAATTTGAATTTGAATTGGACTTATACATTTTCATTAGGGAATCTACAAGTCCGATGTTCCAATTTATAAGTCCAGTGAAACAAAATTTATCCAATTGCCCAGTACTGAATATATGGAGGTTTGACTGTATTTGGAATATCGGTTGAGGCATTGATTTTAAAACAATCGATTAATTATTATGTTTAGACGTCCAATACATTCTGTTATGTGGTTTACTATCTTTCACACTATCATGAGGTCAGAAAAGCTATGCTTAAAGAATTAGAGACAGTACTTGGCAATGATCAAATTACTTATGAAAAACTTCAAAAGTTACATTACTGTGATGCAATTATTAAAGAAGGTAAGGTCTTGTTGTCATGGGGTCATGTAGCATTTATTGAGATTTTAAATAATACTTGAGTCATTGTCATCAGTGTTTCGCACTATGCCAACTGTGCCAGTTTTACTCCGAGTAAATTCGAAGCCTGATGAAATTGATGGGCATCATTTTGAAAGCTCTACGATGTTTATGATCAATGTGCCTGGTGTTCATATGCACAGTGCACATTGGGATAATCCTCAAAAATTCGATCCTCAAAGATTTATGGATAAAAATATTGAAGGAAATATTTTTATTCCATTTGGTGGAGGAGCAAAGATATGCCCGGTATTTCAGATTCGTATTTAGGCATTGTGATTATTGTTATTTTAGTATTTTGATTTAATAATTTATATGATTAATAGGGAAAGCAATTATCAATGTTACAAATGAAAGCCTTGATCGTTTTATTATACAGAAAGTACGACGTCGAATTGGTTGATATGAACGCTCCTATAAAGTATTGTTCTACAGTCGTTAACCACTGTACAGAACTTGTTATTAAAATTAGATTAAGATCTGAAGTTTAAAACAAAAAATTGAAATTTTTGTTTTTGGCATTATTATAAATATGAAATTATTGTAAATGTAGATTATATATCAGATATGTTATATTTTGAACTATGATCAAACCTCTATATATGTACCCTTTGAGACCGGTCATAAGTGTGCATTTATAGTGGGTGAGCGTTTAAAAAGAGTATCTTTAGTAGTAGTTGAGACTGAAGTCATAGGCACAATTATAGGGATGTGCACTTGTGGTGTGCATATTGGGTGTCTGGGCAGATTGTTTTATCGCTTAAAATGAATAAATTTATATAAACTAGCTCCTTATCTCTCGCATTGCTTCTTACTTATTGTTGCATTTATTATACCGTAAATATAGCGGGTATTGGAGTTATTTCGAAAATTTTGCCCCTAAAAATAGCTTAGTTTCGAAATAAAATCCATGCGCGTCCCGAAATAACGCGCATCTACATAGTAACAATCGAGTTTTGAATTTGATTCTTTATCTCGAAATAAGCACATGGGCATACACGAAATAACGTGCAGGATAATCAAAATAACGCGCAGATGCCCGTTATTTTGAGAATTATGGTAAACCATACCTATTATTTGGCAAATCAATATGGTTACGGCGTGTGCCGTATTATTTGCTGTATTTTCTTCGAGCCGTAATGTCGTAATGCATTACGACATTACAGTCGTTATGTCGAAATACCGTATCTATATTAATTTTCAAAAAAATTTTATATTTAATGTCAACTCAATTAGTGATCATTTTCGAGATGTCATTATAAAATTCCTTAAAAGCAGAAGTTTTTTTCGATTCTTAACACCTTGTTTAGTGCTTCGGGGGTGCGTCGAAGGCGCTTCGAGTGTAGCCCGGATTTGCATGGGGAGAGTATCTCTGCATTGCGAATACAAATAAAATTTCCAATTATAAAACATAATTAAACATTTTACTTTGTGTGCGAGAGGATGCTCTCCTCATGCAAATCCGAGTTACACTCGACGCACCCCGCACTAAAACGAGATAGGACGGCTGTTAAAAATCGAAAAAGACCTCTGCTATTCATATCGGGGATTTGTGGAATTTGAAAAACCCATGAGCCGTAGCTCAAATTTGCAAATCATTTGGCCTGACTCGAAATTGGTTGACTTCAAAGCTGGCCAAATGATCTGCGAATTTGACCAGAGTTATGGCTCATGGGTTTTTATCAAATTTCACGAATCCGCCGATATGATATAAATTAGCGATAATACTGTTATGATATAGCAATTAACAAACTTTTAAATCATCTTACCTAAACCATAAATAAAATATTTATAATCTGATAACAATATTGTGTCTAATTTATTAATTACACAACAAATCTTTGAAGACTTTCTAATTTTAAATATTCAGTTAAGTTTATATTCCGGTCAACAAACTTTTAGCTTCAATTTTTTTTTTTTTGTATTGACTATCAAAACTTTATAACTATTAAATGTACTTAGAATCTGCTTAAGTAGATTCTAAATTTAGTAAAATTCTATTTTGATGCACAACTAGAGATTTGCCTCTCGCGAGATGATAATATCATCTCCGCTTTATTTCGTGTGAATTACCTATATTTCACGCGAAATAAATTTCTAACTAGTAAATTTTATTAATCGCGAATTTATCAAATGTAAAAATTTTCAATAAAATGAGATCATCTCACCATTTCGTGTGAATCGCGCGATATGCGAAATATATGCTTAGGTTTATCTCGCGCGAGTTACATCTTTGAAACAACATAAGCATTATAATATTTTGACATTCTTACTTAAAGTGTCACACACAAATTAATTAGCCAACTTTGGGTTATTATTCATATAGATGTAAATTAATAAATTTACATCTAACACTTCTTCGTAGGACGTTTATCCTACGCGACCAATGAAATTTCAAGGATCGACAACCAATCAGAGATTTTTTATTAATCAGATGGATTTTTTTATTAAGCTTATCTTTTTATACTAACTTCGGTCTCATATACATCATGTCATTAACGTCCGTCGTCTTCAATCCTATCAAGCACCATACCGCTACAGTGGTTTTTAGTCATGTAAGTTTAAATCGTATTGTTGAACAAAAAAAAAAAAGAAAAAAATTTAAAGCGTAATTCGTGTTAATAAAAAGGGTTTAGGAGATTGTGGGGATGGAATATCTCCCGCATTTTTAGGCCTGAGTAAAATGTTGGGTCACGTTAAATTCGTTTTTCCAAATGCGTGAGTAAGGCGTTTCTGTGAATGGTTATTCAGTTGTTTATTACTATATACATACATATATAGATAGATAGATATAATGTATATATGTATACTTTTTTTTTTAATTCAGACCTTCTCGACCTATAACAGTAAATAATGGAATGGTTATGCCTGCATGGTAATTTATCTCACTTGTCTGTAAAAGTTCATTAATTGGTTCTAATTTTTACGTGATTTATTGATATAGGTATGATATTGATTCCTTAGGAGAAAATATAGAAGATAGAAATGAAGATGAAGAAGGCATGTTAAATTCAGTTAGGGGATTAAACGGCATTATTCGTGATGAAGTAGATTCGGGTATTCCTTCTAATCGCATCGTCGTTGGTGGCTTCTCTCAAGGCTCGGCTATGTCACTTTTGGTTGGCTTGACATCTGAATATCGCTTTGCTGGAATTGCCGTGTAAGTTTTTGGGGGATCAAAAGAATTAAAAGAATTAAGTTATATATTTATTTATTGGTTTTCTTATATAGGCTGAGTGGTTACCTCCCACTTAGGAACAAGATATTTAAGGTTTTATTATTAATTTATTATGTATCTTTTTAAGCAAAAATGATATTTATTTTTATCCGTATTTGTTACTTAAATAGATGGCCACAGATTCAAATAAAGGAACACCAATTTTTATGGCCCATGGTATTATTGATGCGGTATTCAAACGTTAAAACTTTATTATTGTCTATTATTTTAATCATCACAGAATTAATTGTTAAAATTTATCCATACAGATTATACCGTATAATTTTGGAAAACTATCATATGAATTTTTGAATTCTAAAGGATACCGAGTCAATTTCAAAACCTATAACACGTTGTCTCATTCTATAAACGCAGAGGAACTTCGTGATTTTGCGCAATTCCTTAAAGATGTAATTCCCGATGTATAATACAGTAATTCATTTCTTTTATATATTTTATATGATAGAAGGTAAGCAGTCAGGTAAGGTTTCGATAAATTAATGGAGAAGTAAATCTATATGTAATGTTAATCACCTAACTAGTGAATTAAATAAGTTTTAGTATCTATTAAATTATTGCACCTAAAAACACCTAGAATATCAAATACCCGTATACAAAATATACAAGTCCAATATTCTTTTCCTCATGAATTATTATTATACACGTCGTTTCATTGCGGGTCTGTCATTCTCAAGTCTGTATTTCCTTAGGGCTTTTGTGTGATCCGGCATTTTAATTCCCCATGCAGGTAGTCGTACCACCATCGCAGTTATGTTATCATCAGATCCTAATTCTTCAGCAAGTTCAACAAGTTTCTCTGCACCTGTGGTTACATTATCATAGTTTTTGATCTAATAAAAAATAAATATATGGTTAAAGCCCAAATAGCAATATATATACTAGATTAATTCATAGCATTATCTGCCCGGAGCCTATTGTCATATTTACATATGCTTTTTATGTTGGGAGTATCAATAATGAAGTAATCACTTTTAACGCATGTGAACAGACATTTTCAAAGTGACATTTTTGATGCAATTAAACAAAATTAACAGTTGATTAAAGCATAATTGCTCCGATGCATCAAAAATGCAACTTTCGTACCACTTTTATTATATATTAAATGTCCTCCGCTCATTTATAGTTGATAAAATTAGTTTACGAATTCCGCATTATCATATTACCGCAATAAATGCGATAATACCATTAAAAAATGCGGCAATGTAAGTTTAATAATTTCTATCAACTATGGCTACGCTCCGAGCAATAAAATATATATGTTGCATTTTAAAATAATATCTGCGTCAGATTAAATAATTTATGATTCTTTAAAATTTGACCTGACACAAATTTTATTCTAATGACATATATGTAATAATATATTTAAATATATTTAAGTCATTAAAAATGAAAACTCACACAATCAACTATTTCCTGGCTGCTTAAAACTGACGTTACGCCATCCGAAACTAATACCATAAATGCGACATCATCACCTTTAACCGTTTTACTAATGATTTCTGGTTCCGCTGATATTCCATACCTCTTCATTTTAGAATCACCAAATGCTCGAGTATTAGCTAATTTTCCCAATACCATTTCGGAACCAAAAGAATCAGTAATTACGTAACCACCATATTTTTGTAATCTATCAAGTTCTGTAACAGAGCTTGGATGATGATCAAATGTTAAAGGTATAGCGTTTCCCGAATGAGCATCACATAATAACACACGAGTGTCACCAACATGGGCAACAGTAATTTCCAATTCTTCGCTTGACCAAAATGTTCGACCACCTAATGATTTTACAAGAGCAATCGATGCTGTAGAACCAATTGACCGACCAATAGAATCCCTAAGTTCTAGATCAGTTTTTAAAAATGATAATGTAAGTCGCTGTTCTAAAGTAAGTTCAGATTTTATTGATTCATTCGATACAGGATTTGTTGATGAAGATGACAGTTCTTTAGAAGAACTATGTCTACTGGAATTCGAATTTTCTTCAGAAGTAATTGTGTTTTGTCGTATATTAGTAGGTTTAAGTGTCTCGGGACTTAATAATGGTACTAGTGAAGGAGGCATAAACCTTCGAAAATAGCTGTTTTATAAAGCATATTTATAGAGTTTATGTTTATGTCTAGAATTTTGAAACAGAATATTTAATTAGATAATAAATAATTTGTTTACGAACCCTCCAACTTTTCTCCATTGAGATATAATGTCATCCGCATTAGAAGCCTGAATATCTTCAATCCGTTTATGAAGATTATCGACTAGATAATCTGCGCATTGAGAACCTCCATGACTATTAGGATCAACAAAATAAAAAATAAGATTTATATAAAATTACGTATTCAATGATAAAGATTAAATGTGTAAGACAAACCCATCAAATAAAGCAAAATAACATATTTGGCCATCTTTGCCTTCTTCTTCCTGACCATTTGTTTCAGAAATTTTTTTATCCATATGGATATGTTCTACATTACCGTTAAAATTAGCATTATCAGGTTTGTTAAATTCAAGAACTAGAGCTTGATGTCGGTCCTCATTAGATTCTCTGTTTCCTCTAGATGTTCTATAAATACAAGAATAAATGTGAAATTAAAATCAAAAAAAAAAAAATCAAAAATTCTAAATGTATACAATCGACAAAACTTTTAAAATTCATTCAAACCTAGTACCAACCAAGTGTCTTGATTTTGCAAGTTGTAAACGATAATTTTCACCGTGGGGAGATTTGACAAGATAATATTCATGTGATCTATGCACAGAAGTTTGAGTGATTTGTCGAAAATCAATTTTGATTGTTTTAAAAGAACGAAAATAATATGAATTTATCGTAGATGAACTAATATTTTGTTTAATAAAGGGTGAAACAGTTCTAATTATTTGTTGAAAGATCATCATATTATATAAGAAAAATAAAAATAAAGAAAGAAAGTTTCGAAAGTCCAAAAGTCACTATTGAAATGGACTCGAGTGGCATTTTATAAGAATATATGCAAGGGCTTAATACCAATTTTGGCATATCTGATATATTATTTATATCAATACACTGCAATATCGTTATATCTAAAACTATGTACCATAACAAGTTTGGACTGGTTGTTGACATTTTAATTCAGGCTTAAACTTCCTTAATAGGTCAGAGCTACAAGGTGATCATTTTGTAATAGAAAAAACGTTTTTTTTAAAAAAAAGGGTTTCACAAAAAGATACTGTAGATAGGCGATAAAGATTATTATTAACGGATATATACTCAGAATAATAACTTTACTAATTTCTTAACAATTTTTAAACTATAATATTAACTGTAATACTTAAAAATTTTCAGATTTTATTGTACGTAGAAAGTCGATGGTATATGATTATCATAAATTGAACATGATAATAATAAATTTTTCCTTTTAATATTTGTTACACCTTTCCTATCTAATACAATAAAAAAAACCATAATTGATTGTTAGAAATAATGTAATTGTACAGAGAAAACAAAAAAATATTTACTAATAATCAGACATTATGAAAAACCTCTATGCCAAGAAAATCTATAAAAGTTTCATATAATGCTGGCCAAGATTTTTGTAAAGCAGGTCAAAATTGGCATAGTGTTGACCAAGAGAGCTTATTTCGGAGGAATACGGTAGGCGATATTATTGTGATCCGATGATCAAATCTCAGATATATAGCGTAATAATTATGGTAGTTTAAATGATTTTCCGCATTTAATTTAATAAGTCCTGGTCTAAACTAGTTTTTAATATGAAAATGGATAAATTCAATTGGAAACCTCAAATAGCCCCCACAGTAATAGCATTCGAATAAACAATATGTGACATCATATGAAAATTTATTCTCAATTTTCTTCGAGAGATGTACGTTAAACTTTGTAAAAAGATGTTCTATTGTTTTATTTGTATTAAAATCGGTATAGTTATTAGACACGTAGTGACCATAAGTAAGATAAATTATCCATCAAAAATTAGTGGAACACGTAATTTTCGACAAAACATACCGTGATAATGTATCGGCCGAAAATTATACGCACGTACGTACAATCGTTATTCTAATTACCGAAATTTGCTGATGATCATCACAAAATTCATTACGTGTCCCACTAATTTTCAGCCGTAAATGCGATAGCAGTTATTGCTCACTTACGTGCCTAGTAACTTCTATGACGCTCTTATATTATTAAGATAAATAAATTATCATTATTGATTGATGACTTAGATTCACTATATATGATCACACGTAGTCTTGATTTACCTAATACACCGCACATTCCAATCAGTATGCTTACATAGAAAAAAGATTGTGTTCTAAATATATGTCACGGATGATCGTGAAATTAGGACCTAATTTAATATAAAATTTTGGAATTTTTTAGGGTGTATTATCCTAGCTTTTTTTTGGAGTTGCTTAGAAAAGAGCATAAGTAGGTTTTCAGCAGGGTTTATATTTTCAAAAGGAGACCCAAAATTTCACCATCATCCGATTTCACGATCATCCGCGACAAATAATAAATTTGTGATACTGTAAAGTTGTTATTGATAACACGTAAATAATGAGACGGTGAATTACTAGTTATTTGGCAGCTTACGTAATCACTATTTGCACAATCTTTGTAAACCACCGGATAACACCGTTTGCAACCAACAACTTATTTATATATCTGCGAATTTAGTATGGACTAGGTGCTGGAAATCGACCAAGCAAAAGATCTTTGGAAGATCAATTATAATAAATCATAAGAAAATACAAACTTTAAAAAGCTATACTGCAAAATTCTATTAATACAACTGCTTTTGTGTTTTAAGTAAAAAGTGATCCTGATCTTTATTCTAAATTGATTTGAGAAAAAAAAATTATTTTTGAAAATTTGTCGATTTTCTCCCAACGCACCTAGTATCGCCACTAAAATCAGGTACGTAATCGCTTTTTAAATTTCAATCTGAGCACAAGATTAACCGAATCATGAGAATTTTGAAGAAATAATTAAAGTTTTTTAATATTATTCAGAATTTAAGAACTTAACTATCACTACGAATTACATTCAATTCGAAATTTATTTATTTATTTATATTACCAGTTACTTAGAATTAAGAATTTATTTAATTATTACTACAATTATTACTATGAATTACATTCAATTCGAATACTTAAAATGCATTTATACCCAAATTAAATTTTTTTTAAATACACGTATAAAGCTTTAAATTTGAATTTATTGCTACCAGTAAAAAGTGTTTTTGTTACGTCCACTCCACATTTTCAGAAGTTTTTTTGCTCGTTCGAAATCTTTAATGTCATCTACCATTTTTTGAATAGGGTTAAAGTTCGATTCAATGCTTCGAAGCCATTTTTTTGCTTGGGAAGGTTATTAAATTTTTCAAGACATTCAAGCGCCTAAAACATAAAATTAAAGTTATTTATGTAAATATGAAAGTATGATAAAAAATTGTTTTTATACTTCATGAAGAGTTTTTCTATATTTTCTTAAAATTTCAGATTCGGATTCACTATCTTCAGTACTCGATTCCTCATTATGTTTATTTTGGTTTTATGAAAGATCAATCGTTAAATTGACTTGTGTTTGGTTAATTAAGGTTGATCGAATATTTTCCCATAAAATTTCCTTAGCTTCCGTAATAAAAAAGATATTTAGAATTTCGTTGTACCTAAATTAAGTTTTTTTTTTTAAAAAAAAAATAAAAAAAAAGAAAATATATATATATATATATAATAAAAACCTTCCAGAAAAATGATGCATCCATCTTCCCGAGAGGATTAACAAGATGTTTACATAATAGAATCTCTGTTTTTAAAAAAATAAGAACAAGAACATGTCCAATTTTGATGATCAGTTAAATACTTTTGCATATTTTTAATGTTATGTGTAGTTAATTTATTCCACTCAGTTTTGAATTCTTTATGCCACGATGGTAATATTCATTCATGTAAAAGTAATTGAAACCGATGCAATTGAACTGGTAGTAATTTTTCAGTAATAATATAGCAAACAAGACCAACATGAGGCTCTCCCTTTTCACAGATCTTTATGATATTAAGTGCTAATAAACTTGCAGAAACTTCATCTGTGTTATCTATTTCTAATTCATTGATTATTTGAGAAACATCTACGATTATCTCAAGATCTATATATACATTGCTTTCTCCTTCAATATCCATAAGTTTCTCATAAACTATTTGTTCAAGCTCTTCGGATTTTATTGCATTTTCTTTTTGCTTGCAAATATCGTTTAAAATTTGGTCCTCACATTTTCTTTTTCTACTTTTATTTATGCGGAATGAACATTCAACGCATGTTTTATTATTATTTTGAAATGCAATATTGGGTTTTATAGTTCGACAAGATGACAAAGTTGATCCATATTTTCCATTTTGAAAAGTTTACAATATTAAAAGAAAAAAATTCCAACGCAGATTTTTATTATTATTACATTATTATTATTATTATTGTTGATCAAATATCGTCATTATTGTATTAATCATTAATTTTAATGTCGGCAAATAAATTTAAGCTCCGGATTTACGTACCTGATCTTGGTGGCGATACTAGGTGGGTCTTTTCTCCCTTTTTGCGGCACTTGACCATATGTTCTTCGGAGCTTAGAAGCTGGCATATAAATTTCACAGATAGATAATGAATTGTTTACAAATAAAAATATAGTTAATGGATGCGAAGCAGCCAATAATTCTCGTTATTCGATGTTTCGCTCCAATAGCCTTATACTATTCAGATGAATTTCATTTGAAATAACCTATTTACTCATTTTATTTTTCAATAGAGTTCAGCTGACACTTAGGTTGTTTCAAGCACTTTTTTCTATGGTTAATAAGATGTTCAAAAACGTAGATCGTGTTTAATCATTTCGATCAAAAAAAACTTGAGCCTAACAACCGTCTTTTTTTTTCAGAGTTACTCTGATCGACTAAAATTTAAAATCCGTACAATGAATCACCGTTATTTCGATTAATCGAAATGATTGAGCAGGATCTCGATCAATAGCAAATCAGTGATGGATCTCCTTGAGAACACCTTATTTATACGTTCCCGTTTATTGCCAATTAATTGACATAACTACTAAGGTTGTCCTCAAGCAGCTCCCTCGATGTGATTTGCTAGTGATCGAAATGCTGCTCAATCATTTCGATTAATCGAATTAATTGAAATGAAATGATCCTTATAACGATTTTTTGTTGAAAACTCATCGTGCAAAATGTGGAATTTACATTTTTAGCCAATCAGAGTAACTATGAAAAAAAAAAAAGATTGGTGTTAGGTCCAGGTTTTTTTGATCGAAATGATTAAACACGATCCATTTCTTTAGCCAATCAAATCATCCTATTAACCATAGAAGAGGTATATAAATAAAAATTTTACTTCGTAAAATGGGTGTCTCCGGACTCTGTCATTCGTAATTATGGGTAACTCCCTTAATGTAATTAGCTAATGATCGAGAACGTGCACAAGTACTAAGATTAATTGAAGCAATCCTTACGGTAATTTTGATGTTGAATATTAAATTTTAGCAATACAGAATAATTGTAAAAAAAAGATGTTTGAGGCCATCTTTTTTCATCGCGATACTCGACGGCTAAGCTATTTGAAAATTGAGCCCGGACTTATTAATTTAGGTGCCTGAGAACACTTTATATTTCAATTTAAAGCTCCTACTTATTTCTGAAATGCGTTATTCGAAAATACTGAATTCTAATCTATATATAAAATAGGTTTACTTGAATTTATAACAATTTTAGAAATAAAACAATGAAGAAAATCTTTCTTCAAAAATATAATTTTACTAAAAAAACTACAATTGAATGATTTATTGTAATAACTTATAAGGTAATTGTATTTTGATATTGCTATCAATTTAGAAATTTAACTACAGTTATTTGGATCTTCATAACACGTAATCAATTTCCAAATATATATAAATAAAAAAAAAGTAATCTTTTTTTATTAATAGAGTTTTATATCTCACATCTCGTTTCTCTATCTATAGATATATATTTTTGAATGTTCTCTGTTTACTTTAAAATTATTTGACACCTGAAGCTTTTTTTTTATGTATATCATGTAAAATAGATCATTACTGTAATTAAAAAGGGTAAGTTGATCTTGCGCATCTTTAGGTTGGATCAGGATCTTTCGGAAGTTGCTTTATTAAAGATCCGGTCAATTTTATTGAACATGGATCAAATTTGATAATTTTAATCTGCAACACATAAAGCGATAGCATTGATGTTATGAATAATATACGTACACAAGCAAATCTAATTCGGAAAAGAAATCTAATTTTGTATGCTTATTAATCACGGGCTTGCCTGATTGACCGCAGCTGTGTACATGAAATTAGCTTTTTTAATGAAACTGATAGCTCGCCTAGGGATGGGCTTTGTGCTCTTGGACTATGGCTCGTTTTATGCTATATTTAATTTTCATATCATAAGTAAGTATTAGAAACTTCAATATACTAAAAAAAAAGTCGAGTTTTCTTTTTTTTTTTCCTTTAGTTTTCGACGTTTGCTTTCTGATCGAATCCTTTATAGCTAACTGTTCGTTATCCTTTTTTTTTTCTTTTTTTTTCTTTCTTTTTTTTATTTTTATTCTTATTTATTTATCTTTTTTTTTTTTTTTTTTTTGACGTGTATTTAATAGCAAATATAAAAAAAAGAAGTAAATAAAAACAAAAAAGTGATATAAAATTATTTGTCTTATATAAAAGGAGCACCATGTTACCAAGGTCGGAAAATGATAAAAATTTTTATAGCGGTATTAAAAGGACGCTTGAAAGTAATGATACTTCTGATCGTTCAAGGGCGGCGCGTTCAAATGATCCGCCGTCCGAAAAGGACCATCATGAACAAGAGGAAAATCCAGTTCAATCAAGTGTCTTACATTCAGATAATGGGGATCATACAAATCTTGTCGCAAACAAAGAATCAAATTCAGCACCGATAACTTATAATAAACTACCACAATTTAAAATTACTACCAGACCCCCTTTCCCGCCGACCATTGATCCTAAAGATTTAGTTAATGACCTATTTAAAAGAAAGTCACAGCCACCAAAAATGCTGAATGAATTTTTTATCTATCGTAAAGCTTTTGTTCAAGAACTCAAAAAACAAAGGCTGCGAGTAAAAATGACGCTGGTGTCATCTCAAGCGTCTATTTATTGGCATCAAGAAACTTCACAAGTTAAAGAAGGTATCATCTGTTTATTTTACAGTATATTCAAAGAGCATTATTGCCTAGGGTAAATTTGTCGCTTTAATTAAAACTCTTACCCAATGAGTTTATCACTTTATTTGCTATTTCTAATAAGGTTTCTTTAAGTAACATTTTTAATGTGTACAAGAGTGCAAATTTGTCCAAAGGCACTAAATATATATTTTTCCTTTTTAATCTACTTTTTACTCATTTTATATGTGCCTTTTAAACTCATTCGTAAAAAAAAAAAAAAGCATATAGAAAACTTGCGCGTGATACAGAAAGAATGTATATGCAGGAATATAAAAAAAGACAACAGCAAATTTCAAATCTTGCGGTAAATTCAGCAAACACCTTTAATACTTCGATATCTTCTGCAATTTCCTCTACCTCTGCGACTTCTGCCTCGACCGCTCCTGCATCAGGCTCTAAGGATGCTAAATCTACTTTGAAAATCAATCCATCAGCTGCTATGTTCAACAATACACTTGTGCCGACCGCGTCTGTCCATCCAAATAGACCTTTTTTAAATAATAGTAGTGTATATTTTTTCGAATTAAACTTTTACAAGGGTCTCATGAACAATTTAATTAATTTTTCACCTTATGATACTTCAGACTACATTCAAACATTATCAGCGCGAGATATGTATGATCAGAGTCAAAACACGTTACACTCTAACATAACAGATGATCCTTCATTCAGGCCGATCAACTTCGATTTCTCTCTGGGAATTTGGAGGAGCTACGATCAACCACTAAACGTAACACAAGCCGGACAATTTCGATACGATTCACCTAATTTATCTGTCGATAATATTATCACACCTATTATTGTACCTTCTCAAAGGGACCTGCCCGATCCGACAACGGAAAACGAGCCCACAACTCAGGAAACACAAGAACAACAATCTTCTCACTTCATGGCTAAGAAATAAGATTTTAAATATATATATATATTTTAAAAAAATTTACACATATACTGTACATGTACATACGTACGTATAAAATAATAGATGACAAAGTATGATTTTTTAAAAAAAAATTAAAATAAGCATATTATTATAGCGTGTAGCACGAAACGTAATGTTCGTGTAATGTGATGCATTTTATAAGAGCATTGAAGTTTACTTCTTATGCTGTATGGATATAGTATCATTTATGAATAGAGATGTTTGTCCTCCTCAGTTCCGGTCTGTAGGACCGATCTAATGTGTTTATTAGTCCGGTCAGTCCGTCTTTCAGTTCTTACGATCTTTAAGAATTTTCTGAATATTTAGAATTCTTAGGATTTATTTATTTATTTTTTTTATTAACGTGAGGTCTGTCTCTCATCTTTTTATTTAAAATTTTTGGAATATACGTTCGTATATTCTTACATCACAGAAATAAAGATAATTTAATATTATGAAATAATTACAATAATTTTTTACCAAATTGCAAATTTCTTTTGAAAATATTTCAAATATAGTATCGTTCTTACAGATTAATCATCTAATCTATTTTTTTATTTTTTATTTTTTGGTTGAACAGTAAGATCGGTTACGAAGAGGCTCATTGATTAGAGGACCAATTGTATCAGTACTAATATTGCTGTGCATTTCAACTATTAAAAATGGTGGCAAAAAAAATTTAAATTAGTGATGTAAACCAAACCCGAATGGGACAATTACGGGTTTTTCCTAGTTTGGTTTGGAAATCCCTCAAAAAGTTTTTCTCAGCCCTAGCACTTTATGTGCAATCATACCTTACAACTGCGCTGTAAACATAACAACAAATAACAAAAGTATAAGCAACACCTTTACCCAGTGTTGTATATGGGACATGTCAAAGCTATGTAATTGTCCAAGTATCCAAAATTGTTCAAAATTGTCCAAGCCTATATCCCAAGTTTAAAATAATACATGATTATATATTTTTTTTAAATGCTAAATAAAAAATTAAAATCACTACTAAACAAACTCTTTCCAACAATCCCTCATACCAAAAATTTCACAAAAGACCAAACTATGAAAACTTTATACATATTGTACTTTATACAAACAAAACTCTATCTAGCTGCTGTCGGGTACAAAGTCTATTCACTGAGCATTCTGTTTACTAAAATAGAGCTAAAAAAGATTAATAGCAGACAGTTAAGCAAGGCACCTTGGTGAGCTATGGTATTACCAAGCAAAAAAGTAATAGAGCAATTCTGAAGCTTTGTCAAGCACTATCTCTTAATATGTAAACCAACGTAGGCAAATTTGCCTACGTTTTTGCACTTTTTTAGCTCTGATTTACTTTTTTAAAATGCCAAAATATTTAAATAAAACTTTGCACAATTATATTTGAAAATAAGGATTACTTTTTTG